AAAGTAAAAAAAAAATATGAGAAATTAAATATCCTCTTACCTTTTGTTCCTACAAATCCTCCTTCCCATTTAAATAATGACAAATGTCATATTAGTATCCTAAAATATCTTTAAATTTCATTAAAAAGGCATTAAATGTTACACATGTCACCATTTAATTGGGTAGGATGATATGTAGGAATAAAAGCTAGGATGATATTTAATTTCTCAAAAAACTATTGATGAAACTTTAATGAGGTTCAAGAAATCTAATTATTTATTTCTTTTCATATCCTACATCATTCAAACACACTGTTAAAACTTGACAAGTATGTGTACTTAACTACATATTAAGTTTATTATTGGTGATATAACTCAGTAATTTCCTCCTATATTCGGTAATTTTAATCTTTCAAATTATTATTTTTATCAAATTATGCAAAACAGGTCCCCACAAGACTAGGTACATCTATGGCTTCTGCAATTTCTTCAGAGGATGCAACTTCAGTCCATCGTTTAACAACAACTACATTCCATGTTGTCACACATAAATGTAGAGGCCTATTGAATCATACAATTAATCAATTAGGGACATATGAATGTTGGTATACCTTAAAATTGATTGAAATTAGCTTCTAGAAACAAATACTTGTCAAGTTTTAACACTGTTCAACTTTTCCTTGTTTAAAGTACTCCCTCTGCATCAAACCCAAATTTAACAAAAGTTTGACCTAAATCATGAAAAGGAGAGACCAGGTTTTCCCATAAGGTCCATAATCACATAGCCCTTGCTCGAAACATCAAATACTCTTGAATCATCCTGACTGGGATTTAGTAAATTGCACAAAATCGAAATAAACACGATATATCTTAAGCATAGTTGTAATCGTTCATGAAACTTAAAATTTTAAGCGGAAACTAAATCTAGTAGGTAATACTTAGGAACGAAACTAGGTGCGATAATGAGCGAGTGATCGAGAGGTGCTTGTTCGGCCTTAAGAATGTCAAGGATATCAGTTGTGTCTCTAGGAAGTTGGTCCAGAGCCACTCGTACCTCATCCTCCGAGTTCTGTACATGAATATACACACATGCCATTGACTCAACATTAGGTTTTGCTCCCGTCGATAGTCACAGAGCGCCGAAATCTAATTGTTGTTAGAAGGTTATAAGGATTTTTGCAAGTTTTAACAGTGAGGATGGGGTGAGAGAGCTACAAATGGTGATGGTGGATGAAGTGTTGGTCGATAAGACCGATACATTATCATCGTGCAGGCCTGAAGAGTCGATGTGGGTTGGAGGTAGCAGAGGTGGGTGAGGGGCGGAGACAAAGGAAAGGAGATACTAGAGAACAGATCAAAACGAATGTAGTAGAAGAAAGTGGGGATTAAATTTTTTTGGGATTTCATTTTCCTTCTAAGAAGAGAGACACACATTTCTTAAAAAAATATAAAACGACATTCACAGAGGACGCACATTTTAGATAAAGTGCCCTACATGTTTTTAATTTTTTTTACATGAGACACTAATTTAAGGGCACGCAATAATGCGTGACCTAAATCCTTAAATTTTTTGAGGAGATGACACTTTTTTAATGTCACTCTCTTTTCGTAACATAAATCAATGATTGTCTTCGTTTGGGCGTCATAAAAGGGTCTTTTTCTTGTAGTGACTTATGCTTTTCGGTTATACAGATTCTGATCTGGTAGGACATAAGGACAACATGAAATCCACTTCTGGATATTTGATGACTTTTGAAGGGGGAGCTATGGCATGGCAGTTAAGGCTGCAAAAGTGTGTTGCCTTGTCCATAACTGAGGTTGGGTATATGGCAGCAATAGAAGCATGCAAATAGCTATTATGGCTAAAAAGATTGATGCAAGAGCTTGGTTTTCTACAAAAACTCTACATGGTTTTTTGTGATAATCAAAGTGCTATTCACCTTGCTAAGAATTCAATGCTTCAAAAAAAAAAAAAATCAAAGCATATCGATGTGATGTATCATTAGATTAGAGATGCTCTTGAAGACAACTTGTTTAAACTTGAAAAAGTTCATACCAATGATAATTGTTCTGATATGTTAACTAAATCTTTAGCAAGGGAGAAGTTGAAGACATGTTGCTTGAGCGTCGGGATGGCGAAATCTTCCTCATAGGTCTAAAAGGTGGAGATTTGTTGGGTTTATTTTAGGGATATATACAGTAAAGTCCCAATATTTTCATCGATTTGACAATAAAGTCCTAAACTTTATTTTTTTAATAGTAAAGTCCAAATTATCGGCAGTGTTTGACACTTTTACCCTTTTTTCCCGGTTAGCCAGTAATTAAGATTTTTTTTTTCATAAAAATAAAGTTTAGGACTTTCTTGCAAATCGTCAATTAGGACTTTACTGTAAAAAAAATAAAGTTTAGGACTTTTTTTGGCAAATCGTTGAAAATATTGGGACTTTAGTGTATATATAATTTTTTTTGTTAGAAATTTAATGGTATGATACTCTTTAAGCATAAGAGTTATTGAAACATTCTCTAATTCGCTACATCCTATTGAAATCCTTAACGTTTGCTTCTTGCTAAATCGTTTTTTAATCTCAACAAACCGACATTGAAAAAAATTGAGATAATCAAGAAAGAAAGAAAGAACCAGGGTTGTGTTGGCTTTTTGCTGTCCCAAAAATGGAGAAATAAGAAACTACAAAAAAAAATTTCCCTTCTTTCACTTCTCCACATTCACACCCTTTTGACTAGGCATGTGTTGTTTGTATTGTTATAAAGCTAGGGCAATTTCGTTTTTTAGGTTTCTAATTTCTCCATTTTTGAGACTACAAAAAACCAACACAACCCTAGTTCTTTCTTTCTTTCTTGATTATCTCAATTTTTTTCAATGTCGGTTTGTTGAGATTTAAAAAAACGATTTAACAAGAAGCAAACGTAAAAGATTTCAATAGGATCTAGCAGATTAGAGAAGGTTTCAATAAGTCTTATGCTTAAAGAGTATCATAACATTAAATTTCAAACCAAAAAAATTATATATACACTAAAGTCCCAATATTTTCAAGGATTTGACAAAAAAGTCATAAACTTTATTTTTTTGACAGTAAAGTCCTAATTGACGATTTGACAAGAAAGTCCTAAACTTTATTTTTTTGACCAAAAAGTCCTAATTACCGAGTAAGTGGGAAAAAAAGGTAAAAGTGTCAAAAACTGCCGATAACTTGGACTATACTGTCAAAAAAATAAAGTTTAGGACTTTCTTGTCAAATCGATGAAAATATTGGGACTTTACTATATATATCCCTTTATTTTAGCCCATGAGTAGCCCAACATTTCTTTAGCCCATATTGGCCCATGTTATATGCATTAGTTGCTTCCCTAATGTTCCATATGATGCACACAAAAAAATCACAATACCAAATAGAGAGAGTAAGAGCAAAAGATAGGTTTCCTTCTTTTCCTGTTTTTCTTGATACACTTGCAGTGTTTCATCATTTCCCAAGATCCAACAGTTCGTTTTCTTTGATTTTCGGACAACGTCTTCCTAACATCGAGAAATTCATATCCAATGGTTGAGTTCTACAGATCCGTTCCATAGGCTCAGGAACCGTCGCTTCTGTTGCTATTGGAAATTAGCAACGTTTTTTGTGATCTTCATCATTTCTTTTTGTTATTTGATACCATATACTTGATGTGATTTAGTTCCAAATGTATGATGATTATTGTATGCCTCTAGTACATGTAGAAAAGAATTTATATTTCTTTAATATTGGAGATGTTGGATTTGAAGCGGTTCTAGTAGTCATGTGGTTTTACTCTTTTTCTTGAGAAGTTTTTACGCTAAAAATTTCAGTGTCTTTATTGGTTAATTACTTATTGTTTTGGGTTGATTCTATATTGATCATATAACTTGCGTTGGCTGATTTGTTACAAGTAAAATAGTCTATTTGTTTGCATCCTAAAAGGTTCATTCAAGACGAGAAAACTATACTCAAACCAAGTTGTATTATACATTGTTATTTACCGTTGTGGCTGCATTTTTTTCCCTTGACTTTTTTAGGAAACACTTATTCATAATTCATAATGCTAAATACTATCACATAGAAACCTGGATCCGAACAATCAGGGATTTCATTTTTTGAAGATGTAGGGGAGTATTATGCTTCGCCATCTGAATATTTTGTTGGAAAGCATTATGTTTCAAAACAATCGAATAACTAATTCGTCTTTTGTTGTTGGGAAGAAGGTACAATATTGTTAGTTTGATTAGTTTAGATTTTAGTAGTTTATGTAACTATTATCAAATTTCCTTGTAGATGCTTTTCTATAAATTAATAGTAATTTGGGAAAATGTTTGGATATTAAAAGTGTTATTTGATTTGGGGATAAAAAATTTGATTCTTGTTTCAATTTTTTTAATAATAATGAATTTGTTATGAAGGTAGTTTTAATTTTTGTTTTCCACTGAAAGACCAAACACTTTGATGTAGATATGAATTTTATAAGGTAAAAGGTATTTAAAAGTTTAATTTAGGTTTTATATATATATATATATATATATATATATATATATATATATATATATACTAGTGAAGTTAAAAGGGTCGTGCTTAGCACGGCCCACAAAAAGTGATTTCGGTAAGATAATAAAATGAACTTCACTGTTATTCTGGGGAAAAACTAAAACTATGTTGCTATTGTTGGTAAAATGAAAAGTACATTAGTAAAGCTAAATCTCATAAATGGACTATGTTTTTTGTTGCGGGGTTAAATTTTATTGTAAACTAATCGACTTGCAATAGTTGTTGCTTTGTCATTTTTAATATAATTATAAAGTTTTAGTAAGTGCAATTCATGTGAATTGGATAAAGGTTGTTAATATATGAGTCATGAAGAAGAATGTTTGTTAAGGTACATGTTAAGCTTTTTTTTTAAAGAATGTCACATCCAAAAAAGAAAAGATTTTATACATTCATACACAATATGCAACTTATTCATGCAAAATATTTAAAAAGTTGGCATGACATACAAGCTTAGAAGGCCCAATCATTTCGCATATACTGTATGTTGTTATCGATCCATATCTGATGCACATGAATCAAATCTAATCCTTCTGCAGGTTTCATCCCCTAAAACCAACAAAAAACACATCACATCAATAAACACTAAAGGGTAATAAAGTGATTAATGATAGCTAAAAAATTAAAAACCTTTGCCTTTTAGCTAACTACAAATGTTAACAAACAACCGTGTTGTTCTTCACCAGTTTGTTCCCATTGTTGAAATTCACAAGCCACATGTATGAATAAATTCGTGATGGAAAAGTTGATCAACCTAAACTCGATATTGTTTTCCCCTTTTGTCCCCACAACAGTGCTTTTAGTTTATCAATGCAATCATAAAGAGATAGCTCAAGACCAGATAGATGAACAAACACATCAAAAGCAAACTGCATAAAAAAATTGGATTAAATATGTAACTGTGTGTAAAAAAAGGTATTCATGGCTTCTTTGTTTTTTATTTAATGGCCTTAATGGAATAAGAACGTAATCTGGATAGAATGATTCGAGGGTTTTAACAAAAAATGATATAATGTATTAAGACACAAACCCTTTGCCTATCTGCATATTAAATTTGGCAAATATTATTATAATTTGTTTTATTTATGAATGTAAAGGAAAATTTACAATTTAGTAACATACACGTACAAATTTGAGGTTGCTCAAAAAGACATCAGGATTTTCAACTTCTAGCCATCGCCACCTCTCTAAAAATAAGCAAAGTTTGACTACTTCATTTGCAGGGACAAAACAATCAAAATTCACATTTGAAAGATTCGTTACATCTCTAGATGATATACTTGTTCCCAAATTGAAATGATCAATAGATTCTATGACACCACATGCGCACTTTTCATTTGCACGAATGATTTTAGGGTTATTTTTGGCATTTTCAACATGCCACCGCAATAATTCTTGTTGTGCATTATTCACCACGACACCATGGACATCTTGAATGGTGAAAAGCTCTGCATCATTCCCTGAGAGTTCATGTAACATTCCAAGTCCATGTATAATTTTTAACCCTTGATCTTTTGAGAACTCATCCATTTTAGCACTTTCTATTGAGAAAAGGTGGTAAATGAGTACGCGGGGTGTACTCAGGTGTACGCTCAACGTATTCATATGTGTGCAGTTTGATGCAGAAGCCACCTAGTACGTTGGGCGTACTAGGCCTAGAGTGAAAACCCTAACTTGGGGTGAGTCCCCTATATAAAGGATATGATGGCCTCATTCCTGGCCACCATTCTCAGACAACAAACCCTCTTAACGATAAATCTTCGTTCATAGAGCTTGTGAGTGCATTTGAAAGCTTTTTAAGTGAATTCTTGTGTTCTTAAAGTGAAGAAGAAGCTTTAAAGAAGGAGTGAGAGTCCAGGACCTTGGATTTGAGCATATCTATGTTGGGAGCTTCACATAAAGGTATAAAGCTTCAAGCTTTCTCACTCTTTTGATTTGTGCATCTTAATAGTGTATTTTAGGGTTTTTGTCCCAAAATTTGGAGACTTTATGAGATAATGAGATCCAGAGACTATGATCAACGCCTTCGAGTGTATTTAGTGGTGTAATGCCATAAAAATCCAATCTTGGATGTTGGAATCAAGCCATGCATGATATATGAGCTTTAGCCAAGGTCTTAACTGAATAAGACCAAATGAGTGAGAAGAGTGAAATTGGGACTTACATCGGGCGTAATCCCAGTACGCGCAGCGTAGTGATCGAGCATCCCCGATGCCTGCATGGTAGCAGAGTACGCCCAACGTAGAGAGCTGGTACGCACAGCGTACTCCCTATCGTTGACTTTTTGGTTGACTTTTAGGGTTTGGTTATTTTGTTAACTATTAAGCCCATGGAGGGGTAAAATGGTCTTTTACCCTTCTATGATTTTATAGAAGGGTTAGTCTAGCTTCATGAGAGTCATTATTAATTAGGGATAATTATCGTATGTGTTAGGCGGAGGCTAGACCGGTGATTCGAGTTCGAGGTTATCCGATTCTTAGGAGGTGAGTCTTCTCACTATACATACCTAGAGTGGTAATCTGAGTTGTGTGACCATAGGGTCTTATGTGTTTATTTGAGTATTGTGATATCCTGCATTATGTCTTTGTGATTTATGCTGTGTATTATTCTGAGCTTACCGAGCTAGGACCGGAGGGTCCACCCAAGCTGTGGGACTGGAGGGTCCCACTGAGACACAGGACTGGAGGGTCCATACCGAGCCATGAGATCGGAGGGTCCTTACTGATATGTATGAGACTGTAGGGTCCATGTCGAGCTATATCCATGAGAGGCTTATTGTTTGTGTACGTGGTATTTTGGGGAACTCACTAAGCTTCGTGCTTACCGTGTTATGTGTTTCAGGTACTTCTTAGGATTACGGGAAGGTGCCAGCTTGATTGTACACACATCAGAGATTGAGTTATGTTTTGTGAGGATCTTGGAGTTGTGATTTATACAGTTTTTGGATATGTGTTTTAATGACTTGATATTGTTACACTTTTGTGATTTTCGGATTGACATATATGTGTTTTTTTAAAATGAAAATTTTGGTTTAAAAATATACGTTGTTACAAGTTGGTATCAGAGCTTTGGTTTGAGGGATCCAGATTCACCTCTGGGTGTGTTTGGACTCAAACTGAGGATTTGAGATTTTTTTTTTCAAAAAGAGATAATTTTTCTAAAATGAGAAAGAGTTTAAGAGATAACCAGTTGGAGCAGTGTGTACAATCAGCGAGAGACCGAACGATGATTTCCCAAAATACCCTTACTTTTGTGTTATGGGATATTTGTGAGATATTTTATGAGACATTATGCATGCTAGAGAGTGGGCTAGGTATTTCATATTTATGGTCTAGAGTGGCTTGATTTGAGATGAATTAGCCTAGGAGTTGCTGTTATCTGTGATTTGCTTTTGAGTATGAGTTGAGTAAGAGTATTTAGTAGAGATCACCTAGAGATGGTTCGTGATTTGAGAGAAAATATAGGAGAAACACCTAGATGAGCTTATGAAATGTCTACTGAGAGTAGTCTATGACTTTTGAGACATAGATTACTTGTGAATTAGAATCTTAGGAGGAGAACTTGGGGTGAATACAGGTTGGTGTGGAAGGTAGTATTGGGCTCGTACTACTAAAAACATCGGATCTATAGGCAGTCCAAGTAAGAATCCTTAGGATGTTGAGGAGCATGCAGGGACGAGTGATCGAGTGTGGGTATACTCAAGAGAGTCTCTGATTATTTTGTGTTGTGTTTCAGAGACATCATGGTGGGTACGCACCACAACCTAGAGAGCAGTGGATTTAGCGATGATGAGATTCACATGATGATTCATGATGAGGTGGCCGCAGCCATACGAGAGGCTATTCCGGAGATGTTTGGGTCTATAAATACCACTATGATCGAGACGTTTGATAAGTGATATGATGTTGTTACAAAGGCGGCTATTATTGCAGCCACCGCAACTGTCGCTACTGCCAGGCCACAACGGGGTGACTCGTTGCTATAACGGGAGTTTAGAAACACGAAGCCACCAAAGTTTGATGGTTCTCAAGATCCGATGGTTGCAATGAGATGGATATCTGATATCGAGGGGTGTTTCTACACTTGTTTATGTCCAGATCACTTGAGGGTACAACTCGCGCTGAACCAGCTTCGCTTGGGAGCGAAGGAATGGTGGAAGTTTGTGACAGCCACTTATACTCCTGTAGAGGACACTGTAGTTACATGGGAGAGGTTTTCTATGATGTTCCGAGATGAGTATGTTCCCCCGGTGGAGAGGTGTCACACCCCCACACCGAATTGGCAGAAATATTTGGGGGTGGAGGACGTCATGTCAAGTATCACAACACATGCATTATAGTAATCAAATTACAACAACCATTGCATTAATAATGTATATGGTTTTACATAAGTGCTCAAGCAGTTAATATTCAACATCAAATTTGATATAGTAAAATACAAAAGACGTAGCACGGTACTAAGTTGACTTCAAAATCTCCTGGAGTGTAGATGTCTACTAAATTCCTGAGAATACAAGTTATTTTGAAAGAGAGGATCAGCATATCATGATGGTGAGTTCATAAGTATTTAGTTATGGTTGTTTAGTGTAAGAAAATGATTGAGTTTGTTCCAGAAAGTCCTATAGTTTCTAATTTACAACTGAAAAGTAGTTTTACTCCATAGAACCGTTCTGATTAAGTGTTATTGTACTTATAACATATTTAGACAAAATTTTTAATTCTCCATAAAGTGATGAGGTGAATGTTTTCCGTTTTTTCTGTTAAAAGTAGTTTTAAGTCCCATATAACCGTTTAGCTTATGGTGGGACATGGTTAATACAAAGTAGTTTTAAGCATATGCTACTGGTATAATGACAACCCTGTAATTAAGTTGCTTTAATTAGGGTTATAATGTGATAAGGTTGTAACCATGCTAACCGACAAGAATGAACATGACAACCTTCTGGTGTCGAAACCGAATATCTGACATTTGTCACCCCTTGGCCATGCCGGGTGGGACTGTAGCTAATAGTCAGGGGTGTGGGATTGTTAGTCCCGTATAGATCTATACATACAATGCCCGCTCTCCCTCCAGGAGATTCTGGTTACAAAACGCGACATAACAAGTATATTGCTATGTTGTGAAGTAGTGATTTCACATTAGTGTTATCTTGTTCTCGTAAAAGGGTGTATGTTCCTTTCTATTTTTGTTATAGCATGTTCCTTTCTGTTCTAGTTATAGTATGTTCCTTTCTGTTATAGTTATAGTATGTTCCTTTCTGTTCTAGTTAAAGTAAGTTCCTTTATGTTCTATTTATAATAAGTTCCTTTCTATTCTAGTTATAGTATGTGTGATATCCACAAATTCACGGCCAGAAAAGACCGGTTTAATTTATGCTTTTAAAATAATTTCATCGTAATCCTTTGATTAAAAGAGTTGCGGAATTTGTTCTCAAAACAAAATATGATAAAATAAGATTTACCAAAGCATTTCTTAAAGAAATGTATTTTCATTATATAATAGAATATGGGATGTCATGTTCCGATACAGACCAAAAGCATAAACGACACATTATAAGCCTTACAATAGTTATTTACAACTACTGGCCTATAATCCAAAATATCTTGATAGGTCATCCAACTTACGCTTTGGTGCTACTACCTGTAATACAAAGAAAAACTGAGTGGGTCAGATTTGGGAGCCTGGTGAGCATATAGGGATTTCAACCCACAACAAATAATTATATTAATTTCATCAACCAAAAATAACCCAATTACCCATTCCCGTTATCCTCACTTTACGTCCCTAAAACAACTATCACAAGGGACCTAGCCTAAGGATTTTCATCGGGGCGACAACACATGCTTTGGGGCTTCCTGAGCAATATATGCCAAACAAGGTAACCATGTGGGGGATGGAGTACAACAAATGAACACTCAAGTTTATTAGCACCTACAGGCGGTGATCCTACCAGCGTTCCACTAGACTGTCTAGAAAAGTTCGTGGTCGTCATCTAAACCCCGCTAGATGACTGAATCAGCAACAACATCGAGGCCTCTCATCATTTTATCACAAGTCAACTATCTACCCATGTTTTAACAAACATTTTAGTAGATAACAATATACTTATACATTCATATACAACTTAAAACCTGTATAAAATATCCATTCAATACTCACTCCAAATACACAGATAATATATATACACATAGTACGTATTCTATAGAAGATACTTCATACCTATGTGTTAGAAGAAAGGGATTATACACTCTCTCAAAATGTATACTTAATACATTCAAACAATACTTGTATTAAAATCGTGTTTATGAAAGAGACTATGCACTCACTTGTTAAGACGATTGTCGGACAGCACTACCGCTCTTAACGTAATACTCTTTGATGAAACTGGGATGTTTTCTCCAAAAACCGGGCTTCATGTGGGTAGAGTTTTGGCTTAAAAACTCTTTTTCTCGGGATCTTCGGGGCTTCGGGACTTGCCT